GGTAAGAACAGAGAATTAAAGGTGCATGTTAGAACCATGGGCCTGGGACTCCTAATGTGTGTAGCACCTGAAATCAACTGTAACAGAGAGGAATGAACAAAAGGGAAAGAAGAGACTGTGAGAAATGAAGGGCAGCACAATGTATTGGATCTACATTACAGTCAACAGCCAAAGTGAATTTTTTGGAAGTCAAGAGATTAAAAGCCTGATCAGGTGGCAGTTTAGGAGCAAAAAGCATAAACTAGAAAATGAGATGCAGAGACAGAAAAACCCAGATCCTGTTGGGAGATGAGAGAGCCTAAAGATCTGTTAAAGCAGGTGTGAAAAAAACCTCTACAGGGACAAGAGCAACTCATGGAGCTGAATCCTGTTCAGATCAGAGCCAGTGAAAGAATGCAGAGCTGCTGAGCCTGCTGCCTAGGCCTGCATCCCATGGGCTCTGTGTGCCCTTGAGGCATCTCAGGGGCCAGTGCAAGGAGTAGGAGGTGAGTGGTGCTTTGTGAGCCTATAGTAGGAAAGATAGGAGATGGGGAAGGCCACATGGAATGCCCCTGGTCGCCACCACGTGGCTGGTAGGACGGATAAGAGGCATGGTGCAGGCTGGGTACAAAGCTGCAAGGAGGTTACAGGATGGGGTGGGAGGAGGGTGACCAAGCTTGGGCTCTCCCCTCTCCCCATCATTCCATATCAAGACTTTAGAAATGTTCAGTGAAATGATGATTTTTGTGCTATTTGTTTGTGACTGATTTCATAAGCAAATGACAGCACATTTTCCACATAGGGTCCTTGGGTTGAACACATACAGGTACCTCTCTCTGGGCCACTAGACACAGCACATCCAAAGACATAATACTTGTCTGTCTCCCCACTCCAGGGGTGGGGATAGGAGATCTCAAGTGACAAGAAAAGAAAGCAACCTGCCATGTGGCACCTAACTAAAGATAGGGTCTCGTGATGTGGTCCTGAGAAAGTGCAGGCTATCTCCGATTCAGATGAGATGCAAGAAGGGTGAGTCCAAAGATGTGACAAGGGTGTGAAGATGGCATGGGGTCCCAGCAGACCAAAGGGACATGAATCAGGAGAACAAAGAGAAATTCCATGATGACAACGGAGTGAGAATAGGGACCAGGTCACTGACATTTTTGGGTGAGCACTCGGGAGAGGAAAAACATGCAGCTGGGGAACGGAAAATGAAACCCTCGGAGAAGGAGAGAGACTGAATGAGTGGGAGGTTTGCAAGTGCTGGTTTGGGGCAGGGCAGCAAGAGCTAAAGCTGCAGATTCTGATGCCAACATTCATGCTTGCCCCATCTCTTTGATAGTAATACACAATGTTTAGTGAGCATTAATTATGTGCTGGGCATGATGCTAAGGAATATACATGCCTTGACATAACATACAGGAATCTGTATTCAAGCCTGGGACATGCTACTTACTGTCTTATTTGATGGATGAAGAAGCTGAAGGTGTTATTAAACCCATTCTACAAATGCAGCAACAGAGCCTCCTGCACAGCGGTACAGCTCCAAGGGACTCGGACGCAATGCAGCAGTTGCTTGTTTCTGTATTTACATGTTTCATTGCCCTACAGAGAGTGTATTAAAGGCAATGACTTTATTGTATAGGTTTTGGCAACTCCTTTGCCTAGCACAGTGCAAGCATGTAGAAAATATCCTATAACTATTAGCTTGGTGCCATGGTCTGGATATTGGTTTTAATGCAGGTAGCAAAGGTTTGGCCCCGAGTGGTGCTAATGGGGGAGAGTAGAGGATTTATCTTGTTATGGTTGGCCTGAGAGGAGGCCCTTAAGACACTGGGGGCATGTCCTTGGAGTGATTCTCCATAGGGTTGGTTATAAAAGCCAAGTTGGGCCTGGATGCTCTTTCTGAGTGTCCTCACTGTGAGATCCACCCTCTGCATGCATTCTGCCACGCACTACCTTCATCAGATGCCAGACTAATGGGGTCTCCTGATCTTAGACCGTGAACCCCCAAAACTGTGAGCTACACTCCTCCTACATAGCTTGTTTTAAAGATTTGTGACAATGATGAAAAGGTGACAAACACACTCAAACTCGTAGCTGCTCCGTGCAGTCTGTGTTGGATGAATAAATGGATAACAATATAAAAATATGGATAGTTCTGTTAAGCTGTAGCTCTGCGTGCTCCCAGGGAAGAGAATCTATGAGACTGCACCAAGGAAATTTTGAATGGTGGTGTCTGTAGCCAAGACAGGAAGGCAGAGATGGCCTACGTTATAGAAACACATTACAGTGCTGGTGAATTCATGGTGAGAAAGCAGAAAAGGGCTACAACCATGGTTAGCATGTTCCTGGGGGTGGGGGTGGTGTTGAGGAGTTAGAGCTGAACTCCAGAGAAAAAAAATTGCCAATACAAAAACAATGTTTAGAAGGAATATTGTGCAAATGGAGCTGAAGATACAGAGAGGGTATTGCACAATAGCATAGAGGCTGGGGACACACCCAAATGCTCTTGTAGGTATCTGGGGAAGATTATTGACCATGGATTTGTGATGCTGAAAAGAGGAGCCATGTGGCCTGAGACCATGGAACCAGCTCTGAGCCCCTGCAGGTGCAAAGCTAATCTCTGTGGGAGGTTCAGGTGCTGTGTGGGACCCTTGACCTCTGGCTTGCTGAGCCTCGGAACTTTTTGACCACAACTAGGAGATACAGGATGGGAAGAAGGAAAAGTAAGGGGAGGGGAGGAGGATGAGTAGGTGATGGTTAGGAACGAAGGGATGTGTGGTGTCTTGTTAAAGCAAGCAGGGAAAGCAGCTCAGCCAAAACATTGGCTCTCTGGGGAGGCAGAAATGCCAGGGCTTTGAAATGTGCACACGAATTAGGGGAAGAAAGAGTCACCAGGGTGAAACCCATTACGGCAAAAAACAAAGTGAAACAGAAGAAGGGGAAACAATGAAGACTGGAGAATACTGAGTTCCTAAGAAATTGATATAGTAGGCAGTGGAAAGTGTTGCTTTGGCTTTGGGATGAGACAACTGTAAATACGAATAATATGTAAATAACATTGATCATTTAAAGAATCTGGAAGGCTTAAAGGAACTGATTTTTCTGAGGGCGATTGGACAAGTACGCAGGGGAATGTTTATGGCTGAGATAAAAGGACTGTGGAGGAGGCATCTAAAAACCAGAGTTCAAGAGCCAGTTTTGTCCCCTGGCAGGAGGACAAGTCCCCGGTCTTCTCTCATTTGTCTCTAGGGCTTTGGCTAGGAAAATGACATTACCCTCTCTTTCCTGCTCTTTGGGGCCATCTTAGCTTTCCAGGGCAGACACAACAAAGCCCCCAACAATGGGTGACATAAGACAGCTGAGACGTTCTCTTACAGTTCTGAGTACAGGGGTTCAAGTTCAAGGTGTCACAGGTGCCCTTCCTTGCCTTGTCCGGTTTCTTGCATGTCAAGGGCATGTCTCTTGGCTGTGACAGCATTATAGCTCTCTCTGCCCTGCACCTGTATGTGTCCTCCCCTCTTCTTATGAGGACACCAGTATTGGGGTCAAGGACCCCACTAAGTCCAGCAAAAATTGATCTCAAGATCCTTAGCTAATTATCTGCAAAGATCGTATTTACAAGTAAGGTCATGTGCTGTAGTCCCAGGTGGACATGGGTTCAAACATCTAGTATATTTAAAATATCTTCCATGTGTCTTCTTACCCCTCAAGAATCACACCCCTAATACTCCCTTCACAGGCACCTTGAAAAGCTACCATGGTCCACGGGCAAGCCTCTCGGCTGGCATTGCAGGGTCTGTCCCTGGCTTTTCCTCACCCTCTCCATGTCCTTAACTCCATGATCCCAGTCAACTGGCACACCTTAATCCTTCAAGCCCCAAAGAAATTCCTTCATGAAGCTATTTCGTGATCTCTAGCTGTAAGTTCTCCAGGTTCTTTACACTCGGCAAAAGCCATTCTTGGACATCATCAGTTCTTTTGACTCTTGGGTTAAGCTTTTGTTAACTTCTTGTCTGGTTATTCGACTCAAGAGTTTGTGCTCTCCTGCACCTGCTGGACCTGGAAGACTGGGAAAGTGGCTTTCCTTTGTTTAAGGTCCCAGAATCGAATTCAGGAACTGTTTCTGAATGATTGACTTCTTGCTGCACGAACTCTGCTCTGTTCATCACCACCATTTCTTCTCTTTCAATCCATGCACAGCAGTCTTTCCTGGTTATCTCAGTTGATAACCTTAGTCCCTGCAGCAGTTAGCATGCACTTTTTTGTCTTGGTGCATGGTATGTCTCTCTCTACTTGGTCATTCGTGAAGATGCATGTGATATTTCTTCTGCTTGGCTGGAAGCAGTAGGGCAGGGATCCAGCTCACAAGACCACTTTACCCTCCTGTGCTGAGTCACTTAGCCTTCCTTCACTCTCCTTCTCCTCCTAAAGCTTAACATGGTCTCTATGAGAAAGCTATTGTGAAAGAGCAACGGCAAATGAGTAACCAAGTACATGAGTTTGCTTGAGAATGGGTTCAGCACAGAAGAATCAAGTCCTTAGCTCTACAGCCAATGTCAAAGGAGAATTGTTGGAAGTTGAGCCAGGCTTTGTGGGGTGGCTTTTCCAGCAACCTCTGCACGCACAGCTGGGAGAATGCAGAGAGCCAGGCATCCATTGTCAGATTTTGCCAACCAGCCTACGGACAATTCAGGGAAAGATTTTGCAAGACCCAGAAGGAAGTAGGAATGTGTGTTCCCCATCTGAGCCCAGGCAGGGTCACAAATTCAGGACAGAGAGTAGCAGGGACTCTTCTGTTCAGTGCCTTGGGATCTGCTGTCAGTCAGCGATTCAGCAAGAGGGCCCACCAGCCTTTCCTCCTGCACTAGTCAGACAGAAGCATCCCCACCCTCATTCCTGTGCCAAGGGAGACATGAGGTGGGCAGAGAGCAGCAAGCACTGTTCCAGATGCTTCTCTGATGGAGTCCTGGACAAACTGAAAATGCTCTGGAGAGGGATCAGGCATTGTCACTTACCAGCATTGTTCTGCTGCTTGGTGTTTTTGATGTAGGCAGAGAACTTGGAGAAAATGTCAATGCCTGCTGTGTTGGATTCTCGGTGTTTTGCAGCCAGCCTAGGGTACCTGGAATGGAAGACAGAGTTCCCAGGACTCAGTGAGACTTGATGTTCTCTTATGCGGGGATGGTGGTAGTGGTGGTGGTTCTTATCCCCACCAAGGTGGGCAATATTACCTCTCTCAGTTGGGTCCACACATGGGTTGGGCCTTTAATAACCATCTTGTAGAGTTGTTAGGCACTCTCAACCCTTTTTCAAACATTAAGAAAACCAGAGACTGGGAGGTGCTAAGAGCAGACCAGGATGAGATGGTCTGCTGGCAAGAAGCCAAAATGTCCCCTCAGATTCTGAATGTGACATCTTCCTAGGACCACAAGAAGTGATGCACCAATGAAAAAGCTCAAATCCAGCTTCTGACTGAGCTTGCCTCTGTATCAGGTAGGGCACCTGCCATTTCCCCTGCTCAATTTGACCTTAGAGTGCACTCTAGGAGTAAGGAGACACCAGGCACCAGGCACCTTGGTACTGATGCCTCTAAATCTTTTCTCCAGGGGAACAATATCCCTGTCCCTCTTCAGACATGTTCTGCACCTCTGGGTTCCTTGTGTGCAGTCATATGCTATGCAGATTATCCAGTCTCATTAGCAGGACAGGTCTTATTTCCCAATGTAGGGAAAGAATTGCAGCGACTCAGTCCTTCCCTCCCCTTGACAGCCTTTCATTTTTGAGTCAGAAGAGGCAAGGCAGAATTAGAACCATCAGTCTAGAGCCTGAATGAAGTCCATTTGCATGGGTGGGAGTCATGGCTGCAACCCATTAGTGCCATTAAAATAAACCTCCTGATTAAAAATACTATTTCATTATTACTAAAAGTACAGAAGTACGTGGTCAGGCATGTGTGAGAGGAAATATGGGACAGCTACCTGGCTAGGGTTGTTATCAATGGATTCTCAATTAAGCTCTTGGGGTGCTTTAAGCTTACATAACAAAATCATTTGTTCTTGCTGTTTGGTTTAATTTAATATTGTGAATAACTTGCCAACATGAACAAACGATTTGTTGTTCATCTTTTTCTTCAAATGACACATTCCCTGGCGCTGCCTACTCTTGAGTCATGGCCATTTCATGGCAGAGATCAGCCATTGGAGGAGTTCTCAAAATCTGCTAATCTGACAGGAAGTCATGGTCATCCTTATGTCACAGAGCCAATCACTGGGCGCCTGAGGAGTTCAATGAGGATTTGAGGGCCCATGGCTAATAAACAGTGAAGGGACCATGAGACCCTGGTTTCTTGGCCTCAACACAAAGCCCTCCCACACTCCCTCCCTCTGGGAGCAGGACAAACTCACTCCATATCGAGTGCCCAGTAAGTATCAGGCACTGCTGTGACCCATCCACAACTACATATGACTTATTCATGACAACCCTATTGGCACTATTACTCTCGATTCCCACGTGAATAAACTGACACTTTCAAAGTTCCAAGCTTCTTAATGCTGGAGTCCTGTGGGTGACCTGTCTACATCCACCAGAAGGGGCGATCTGCACAGGGGCTTCCCGGGCAAATGGGAATTGGGAAATTCATCTGCTGGGAAGGCGGAGGGAGCACAAAAGCTAGGTTTTCTGAAAGATGCCAGTAATCTGTCATTAGTGCCACTTCCCTCCATTGCGGCCTCTAACATAGACTCTAGTACGATATCATGATGATAGAATTAAACAATTATTAACAAATAGCAAGTACTTTCTGTTTCTCCTTAATAATGAAAAGAGAGAAGAGTCTAAAAATGCCTTTCAGTGGGCAATTTGTCGGAGTCGGTTGCTACGGCTGCTCTATGCAATTATTCGATCACATTCTGGGAATTTACCCATCCCTTTGCCATCGTGGCGGGCCCAACACGGCTATGTGGCTCCAAATCCAAAACGGACATCAGAGAGCCTGTAGTTACAGGGGTTGTGGCACCCTGTTTCCTGCACATTGTGCGGCACAGTGCTCCATTTGAAGTTCATTCTTGGGGCCAGGGTGTGTCGGAGCTGCGACTTTCACAGATGTCAGCAAGTAGGCTTGGGGAGCTTACCCCACAGGGTGCCAAATGTGTGCAACTTAGGTCCTTCTCTGCTACATTTTAAAGTCACAACTAAGTGGGCTGCAGACTATTTCCAGTGTCTCTACAAGGCTAAAAAACAGTGTTTCACCCACGGAATTATCTGCAAATAACCTTGAGATTCGGTCTGATGACAATTGCAGAGATGATAAACTTCTCTAACCCTAAGACCTTTGTTTATTTAGAGCTCAGGAGCTAGCAGTGGCTCTAACTTTTTAAATGGTGGAAAGAGAATGAGAAAACACGGAAATCAAATTCACTGTTCATAAGTTCCACCAGGGCACAGACATACCCATTCATTTCCATATTGGATACAGTTGATTTTACTGAAAACCAGAATCTGTGTTAGGTACTGTACTATTCAGAAAGCCAAAAATTCTATCTGGCCTTTTACAGGTAAAGTTAGCTGACCCCTAATCTAAATAATGCAAATTTCTTATGACACTTTTTAAGATCTCTTACATCGAGCACATCTGTCTGAGATACGCATTTAAGCCTCATTCTGGGAAATAGAAAAGAACTCTCTCGTCCCTCCCACATAAGTTTCTTTGAAACAGAAAATTGTAGCAATATATGTATGCATATATATGTGCATATAAATGCTAGCAGACGGTAATTGCTGCACCTGGCTAGAGTCCCAGCTGACTTCTCACTGACAAGTCACAGGCCCCCATACCACTGAAGAAAAAGACCTCAGGCAACTAGACCCACATACATTAAACACCTGCTAGGAAACAGGCCCTATGTCTGCACTGGAGGACACCCTGGAGAAGAGGGAGGTGGAGTGATCTTCACTCATTCTGGAGAATTTTCTGGCAATCTGAATGTTGACCTTCATTTTTGCTAGACAGCTGAAAAGTGAAAGGACTTTCCATGTCTGTCTTCTCCTTCATTCCTCCTTCATTGGGCCCGTCCTATGAGAAGCAGGTTAATGCTTCTGAGTTTTCTGATCCTGACCATGTGCTGGCTTCCTCTAGTCTGTGCCATTAAAGATAAGAGCCTTGAAAGGGTCTGGCTTATTCATTCAAATGGACCCCAAGGGCCGGCAGTCTAGGAGGAAGGTCATTCATGGTCCCTAGAGCTGTGCTTGGGCAACACAAAATTGGCATCATCCTTCCTGACTCTTTAAACTATCACTGAATGAGCTCACACTCGGTGTGAGGCAATGGACTAAGTAGTGACATCTTGTACAGTAGCTGTCCTGAAGGTCATCAGGATTTTCTTTGTTTTCTAGAGGTGAGAATTATAGACCTGACAGGCACCGCGTACTTCTCCTGCACCAGTGACTACTCACACTCAATGTCTGTTTCTGTCTGTTTTCCAGCTTCTTTCAGTTTGGGTGGGGTTCTGTGACTGGTCCCTGGGCATTGGGAAGCAGGGGACGTGATGTAATTGGCTATGGCCCTGGTCCTTAAAATGACTTGGCACAGCCTTGAACTCTTTTTCAAAGGAGGCTTGAAGGCTATGTGTTACAAAACCACAAGATGAACAGGCCGCTCCACCCACTCACATCTTGCCTGAATAAGAAATAATCTGGTGTTCTACTAAGTCTGAGACTTTCTGGGTAATCTGTTACTGCACAACCCAGTCACATGGATTTGAACCTTCGTTAGTCTCTAACACCTGAGCCCATTCTCAGCCCCCGTGCTACCCCGTGAGAGGCAAGCAGGCTGTTTCTCCCCCTGCCAGAAGGTTAGAATAACGTTCTAGTTATTCTCTCCCTGTTGTGAGTTATCCCTCTGCGCTTTAAAAAATAATGTAATCAAAGTATCTTCCAGATTCTATGATCTGAACCCTGTTACATTCCACGCATGCTCACTAACTGACAGAACAATAGGCTGTGTACCAAGATTCAGTTTACCCTCCTGGATTTTTAGTGCAGCATCGATAGGTGAGGATTATCTTAACCAATAGCTGCCTCTGGGTCAGCATTTCGGTAAACTCATAGGATGGTAGAACTTGGTCTGGGACGCATTTTGGAGACTGTGAAGTTTTACCCTCTAATTATGGAAATGAGGAAGCAAGTGGGATTGAGGAGAGGTGCTTTTTCAAGGTCACAGAGCAGGGACTACATTCGGCAGAGAGGTGGCCAGGGCTGGATCTCCTGACTTTGTTCTAAGTCCTAGAAACTGGTCACTCCTTGGAGATAAAAGGCAAGGGCAGCGTGTTTCAGAGTCACCTCAGCGTTGACCCCGACACTTCCCTGTGGAACCTCAACCGAGTCAGTCTGTGGAAATGGAAGAATGCTAGTCCCAGGAAAGAGTTAAGACTTTCCGGAATTCTCATTTTGACACCAAATGCCCTGTGGAATCAATTGTGATTAAAAAAAAAATTGTTGGAGTGTTTATATGTGATTTTCAGAAAATAAAGCTAACGAGGCAAAAATAGCACCTACCATTGTCTTGGCTCTCTGGCAGCTTTTACAAACAGCGATGTGATGAGAACCACATGGCAGACTAGTGCCTGGTGAACGCTTCATGGGGTTTGATGCCCTGATGGCACTACAGGGCTCAGAACCAACCAGTCAGGGAGGCAGCTTGGGCTGGTGGCCTGGTGTGAGCATCAGGCTTCTGTGCTGGAGCTAATGTGGGAAGATTTCCCGGGAAGTGATCACGGGACCTGCCACAGTGTCAAGGCTACAAAGGCAGGTAGGGGACACTCCTGGATGGCCTCACCAACAGGGCCTACGTGTTGGCAGCCTTCTAGGATGCCCATGTAAACAGCTTTGAGAAGTGCTGGATCACTGGGTTGCCCATGAAGCAGCAATGAATGTCTCCAAACCTCCCACACAGCTGAAGTCAGGAGGAAGCCCTGAACTGGAGGAAGGTCAGGGCAGGCTGTGTGGGTGGGGATGATGGGGAGAAAGAAAAAGAGCCATCCCTCCTGCAGTATGGCGCCCCTGGGGCTCAGAAGGTGGCTCAGGTGTCAGAGATTAGGGTTCAAAGCTACACCACTAGGTGGCGCTATTCTGCAGTCACAAATTAGCCACACAGTCGGGGGGGTGTGGCGCGGGGGCGGGGACTGAATGTACAGGGCTTATTTCTCACTCAAGCAAAATCAGAGCAGGCAGAACGGCCTCTTCTATCCAGTAGCTTTTGAAACAGAGCCGTCAACTCTGTTAGCAGGAAAAAGGGGGAGAAGCATCAGGCCAAGGAAGGGCCAGAACGTGGTTAGTGCCATCATGTCCACTTCCTTCCCACTGGCCAGGAATCAGCCAGAGGACTCCCCACCTTGACTGAGAGAAGCTGGAGTGTAGGAAAGCACGTAGATGCTTCCTGAGTGTGCGTAGTCTCTGCTACAGGCATGTCACACATCATCCATGAAATGAGGACCAGCATGTTGATCTCAAGAAGGTGACTGGGTAAGATACTGCTCCGGAGTTGACTGATGTGATGATGACCCTTCTTGGAAAGACAGTCCCAGAACACAGGGAACCCTTCGGTCCCATCGTAACTGCACGCACGCTGGAGTGCCCTGAGTTTCAGAAACACCTGCTAAAGCAGAGCTGGATTGGGCAGGTGGGGTGGGAGCCTCGCTTGTGGACACAGGAGTCCGAGAGCAGAAAGGGCCCCAGAGAGTCACTCTTCACGCTCAGAGGAGACAGGAGTGTGAGAGGTGTCAGCACATTCCCACCAGCAGGGCTGGCAGCACCCCTGCACCCCTCCATGCAGCACCCTGGCCAAGAGCTCAATGGGACTCTCGGGCTCCACTTCCTGTTCCTGGTGGAGCAGTCTCCCAGGAGTGCATCTTCCCACAAAGGGAAGCACTCATTTCAGCCTGGGCCTTCCTCTGTGGCCTCCCAGGCACAGTGTCAAGTTCAGCTGCTCTGGAGCACAGCCTTTCCTTTTCAGATGCACGCCTGAGCCAGCACAGGAGGTGGAATTGCACAGAAGCGAGCTGGAGCTTGGGTCCCCCTCAGGGCACTTGCAGCTAGGGGCTGGCTGGCTGGCTGGCATCCCATCCAGAGATGTGTGTGGCTTCTGGTAGCAGTCAAGCTGGGTGTCACCCACCCGACTGCTTCATCACTTCCTTCAAGGCCACACACAGCAGCCACCACCATGCCAGAAGCAGCTTTCCACTCTCCCTGTGAAACTGAGCTAAGGATGACAAAGAGGACTTTTCAGGAAGGTTGTGTGATTGTTGGAAGTTTAATCACAGCAGGACAGGAACTTTGAATTTTTTTTTAAGAGTAACTCACAAGTAACTTGTAAGACCTTGGGCAAATTGTTCTCTAGAGTCCTGGCTATATAATGACCGTGACCTCACCACCTCCTAAGGGCCTGAGTCCTGCTCAAAGAGAGTGTGATATAAGCACTCATCAGCTTGATTTTTAAACTCAATGCGAGATGGTGATTTTTAGTAGTTGTATACCACTTCCTCTGCCAAACATGATCTCAACCCTTCCCACTGCTCTCTTGCCATTTTATCACTGCAGCCTTTGGTGAGCCCCTCACTCAATATTGGCCTGGACTGTTGCCACAGATGTTGCTTCATTGATTTCCTCATTTCCAACCTTCTGGCCTCTTATGCTTCCACCTCCCCTAGCTCATAATTCCTCTACTTGGACTTTTCCTGTGGCCACCTCACAGGCTGGAGTCCATGCCTTACTCAGCATGCAATGTGATTCCCCCAGGTCTCTTCAGATGGTGACTGGCGGGATCCCTCACCATAACATGCCAGTCAGAATCAAGCCTTGCCCCTGTAAACTCTCCAACCCACTGTTTTCAGCATTATACTTCTCTTTTCCATCAATAGCAGCTATGTAACCAGCAAGAATATCCAAGCTTGCTAGCCTGGCCCCTCCCTGTTCCTGTTTCCCAAAGGGGAGCTATTGGAGGCAGGCTTTATCCATTTCACTGTGGGCCAGATCAGATTGGGCTCTTGGTGCTCAACTAGTCAGTGGGCTTGCCTTTCCCAGCTTGTTATCATTTCGTCTACTTTTCAGCTTTTGTTCAGAAATGGTTCTCCCTTCCAGTAATATGGACTGTAAAGAAAGGGGTATACTGGGGCAGAGCAGAAGGTGGAAAACTTCCTACGACGCCCTGTTTAAGAGGGAGTGACTGGTTCCACTTCACTGACCCTGCCTACTCTCCTGTGCACTGAGCAGCGCGGGGTTGAGATTAGCAGCCCTTAAACGGAGTGGTCCTCAAATCTCTCTTTGAAAAGAGAATCCTGTGCTTTGGAGTGATGAGGTTCCCTTAAAAACCGGCCCCCTCAAAGCTATCAATCTGCATTTGCAGCTCCAATCTGGCCCCTTTGCATGCGTTAGCTTCCCAATCAATCAATGCATTGATTACTTCTCAGGGGTTAAGGTCTCCTCCAGGAACTCCTCGATCTTGTTAACATCTGTCTTCACATCCCCATTGAAGGTCAGGAAGGGTGGATGGGTCCCGGGGGCGAGGTTGTGCAGGTCAGCTGGCTTTCTGTGGAGAGAACAAGATTGAAGTGTAGGTTTATATCAGGGAGCTGGAAAACCTACAGTTCATTGCAAACAAGGGTTCTGTGTCATCCAACATGCCCATCAGCAAACTATGGATCTGCAGTGTGGGGTGAAGGGCAGGGGAGGTGGGAGAAGGTTCTGAAGGAAAGCTCTTCTGCGGAGTCCGTGAAAGAGAAGCACTTCAAGACGAAAGAGCTGCACACAAATGAAAAGGTGGAGAGGTATAGCTCATTCAGCTCCAAGCTTTCACTACCCAAAGCTCAGAAGCCTTTGCTGACAAGATAAACAGCTTCAGAAATCACTGAGTTGGAATCTACTCCGTGCAAAGAAATATCTTCAAATGTTAGGAAAAAAGAGAGAGTGAAAACTTGAATCATCTGCCAAGCTGAGGTAGCCTTATCCTTTGTAAACTACATTCTCACACATAAGAATTAATTGCAATATTGTTCAGTCTTTTTCCAGACTCATTAGAATTCTATTTTTTCATCAATAAACAACCATGATATAGCATCAGGTCACTAAGAAAATAAGCAATTATTTGATTGAAAACAAAACTATTAAATCGAGACTCTCTTCACAAAACCTTTTTAAAGGATTTTCTTTTTTTTTTTTTACATTATTATTTGAAAGGCAGAGTCACAGAGAGGAGTGAGAGGAGAGGTTGGGGGAGTCTTCATCCACTGGTTCACTCCCAAAATGACTCCACTGGCTGGAGCTGAATTGGAAAATAAAAGGAATACTAGTCAAAATTATAAATCGTTTTAACAAGCACAGGCTTAATGAGCTGAAATTCAGGATTTACTTGAAAGCAAATTTTAAAGGTGTTTAATAACTTGCATGGTATGATGGTATGCATAAAAGTTGCTATTTTTAATCATATAAAAACTGGACAACTTACTTGTGGTTGCAAATAGATAATGTTATAGAGAGTCTTCCTGCTAACACAATATTTTAAAAGATTTCAAAAATTATTTTAATTTAGCATTAGAATCAAATCTATCCGGCAATAAACTCTGTTGAGTTTGACATGGAGGGCAGGTTGTTTTCTTACATTCTTGCACAGGAAAGAGTCTATGTTTTAGGAGTTGCCAAAGTTTAGTCTGCTTTGTGCTACTGTAACAAATATCGCAGACTGGGTAATTTATAAAGAATAAAGATTTATTTCTTACAGGTATGGAGGCTGGAATACACAATTACTTTTTAAAGATTTCTTCATTTTTTTTTTAAAATTGTAACGGCAGAAAGACAAACAGAAAGATCTTCCATGCACTGGTTTTTTCCCCAAGTGGCCACAATAGCCAGAGATGAGCTGATCTGAAGCCAAGAGTCTAGAGCTTTTTCTGGGACTCCCACATGGGTGCAGGGTCCCAAGGCCTTGGACTGTCCTTCATTGCTTTCCCAGGCCACAAACAGGAAGCTGGATGGGAAATGGAGCAGCTGGGATACGAACCAGTGTCTATGTGAGATCCCAGGTATGCAGGGAGAGGATTTAGCTACTAGGCTGCTATAGCAGGCCCCACAATTTTTAAAATGGTGTTTATTTTCACCTATTTAGAAAGGAGAGGAGAGGAGAGGGGAGGGGAGGAGAGGAGAGGAGAGGAGAGGAGAGGAGAGGAGAGGAGAGGAGAGGAGAGGAGAGGGGAGGGGAGGGGAGGGGAGGGGAGGGGAGGGGAGGAGAGGAGAGGAGAGGAGAGGAGAGGAGAGGAGAGGAGAGGAGAGGAGGGGGGGGGGGGAGAAAGGACCCCATCCTCTGATTCATTCTGCAAATGCATGTAACTTTCCAAGCGGGCCACACTGAAGCCCAGATCCTAGGATTCCAAGAGGGTCTCCTATGTGGATGGCATCAGCCCAATGACTGGACCATTGTTCATTAGCAGGACTCTGGATCAGAAGAGGAGCAGTTGTGAGTTGGCACTCAAACATGGGATGCTGGCACTCCAATCAAGGGCTTAACTTGGTATACCATGATGCCCACCCCAGATAACACATATAAGCTTTGCAATATTCTAATACTACCAATTTGTTCAGATTCAATCAAAGTTTTTTGTAGCATTTTTTACTTTGCAACTTATCCAAGGTGAATATTAGTATTCTTAAAATTTGGCTCTAGCTTTACTAACAAGTAGTTATTTTTCTTGCAATACTTAGAAAAACTCCGTTCAACAGTACCGTGGTGTGGTAGGTTAAGCTTCCACTTATAGCATCAACATCCCATACGGGACCTGGTTTGATTCCTGGTTTTCTACTTCCAATCTAGTTTCCTGCTAATGTGCCTGGGAAAGCAATGGAGGAAGACTCAAGTGCTTGGGTCCCTGCACCCACCCATGTGAGAGACCTTGGCTTCAGACTGACCCAGCTCTGGCTATTGCAGCTATTTGGAGAGAGAATCAGTGAATGGAAGATAACTGTTTCTGTGTCTATCCTTCTTTCTCTGTAAATATACCTTTCCAATGAAAAATAAATCAATCTTAAAAGAATTCTGTTCAACACAAGTTGAAAATCTCCTATGAATCAGAAATTGTGCCTATTTTTAAAAATCACTGTGGTGTGTAAGCACTGATCTAACTCAGAAACTATTGCCTGTTTTCTAAATAAACATATCTTCGGTTTTTAAATGAGACTCAAATAAAACATTTACAAAAGGCATTTCTTCTTATAGCAACTGTCGCTTGTTCTGATATGGTCTTCTAGAGGGACTCTTTGCACAGTGGTTTGGCAGCTGCTTTGGATTTTACATGCTTTGTTGGAAGCCCTGGGCTTGCATCTTCACCTTCATGCTAATATGCACCTTGGGAGGTAGCAGCTGGTGGAACAAGTAGTTCTTATCAGCTTGGAGAGAGACCTGCATCGAGATCTGGGCTCCCAGCTTCAGCCTGGCTGCTGCAGGCATGTGGAGAACAAAGCAGCAGATCAGAGACCTCTCTCTGCTTTTCTACACACACACACATGCACACACACACTCAGAGGGAAAAAGAGAAGATTTGCAGAAAATGAACATTATGAAAAGCTATGCATGGATTTCAAAAATTTTAAAGACTTATTTATTAGTTTGAATGGCAGAGTTGTATATAGAAATTTTCCATCTGCTGTCTCACTCCCTAGATGGCCACAATGGCCAGTACTGTGCCAGGTTGAAACCTGGAGCTTCACCCAGATCTCCTATGTGGGTGGCAGGGGCCCAAGGACTTGGGCCATCTTTTACTGTTTTTTTTTTTTTTTTTTTTTTTCTCAAGCCATTCGCAGGGAGCTGATGCGAATTGGAGCAGATGCCCAAATAAGGATGCACTGGTATCTGTGTGGGCTGTCAATGTCACAGCTCACAGATCCACTTGTGTGTCACCCTCCCATCCCTTTCCAAGAACTTTTTGAAGTGCTCTCATTTGATAGGCAGCACATTGAGTCCCTAGGGATACAGAAGGTCTGTTGGTGAACCTGGAAGCAGGCTGGGTCAGACATTGATTGAAACTGAAGATAAGCAAAGCCTAACCCCACCTCAAGGAAGCAGAGTGTCAGAGGTTGATATTCCAAAGAGAAAGCCTCAGATGAGTGAGCATGAGGTGAAATTCTGCAACACATGTCCAATCAGAATGGTGGATGGATAGAAATTCAGGTCTTCGCCCGTTAGCCATGCTGAATGTGGTTCCTGGCATGCTGTGCTGAACAAACTGGCCACCTGTGCGGTAGAGACTGTCACTGCTGCCAGAAGGGAAGTGACCTTGTGTTTGACACAGGCCCAGTTATTGCCTAAGGGTGTGCTCCTGTGATTCTGCCAGCTGCTCAGAAACACAGCAGCAAGTATGGAGCCCAGAGGGGCGAGCTGGGGCAGGAGAGAGAAAGGTTGCATCCAGAAGGAAGAGGAGAAAGATTGCTGGAGACTTCCACGGGCAGGGTAGGCGCATGGTTCCCCACAGCACTCTCTCTGGGCATGCAACATTTCTTGTAGGAATGGGGAGTGGAAAGCATTCAAAGGAGGAACTGTCAGAAAGCAAACAATGGGAGTAGAGGAGTCTGGAATGAAACAAATTCCTGGCACAATCAGCTTGGGAGGGGACAAGAAGAATTTCAATTAGGGGGCTACTCCCAAGGTGCCCTCCCAGCACACACCCTCTCCTGCTGCCTCCTGTGGCACTTGGAACACAGACCACAGAGACAGGAAGGTGTGTTTAAAGCTTGGTTGGCTTAGTCCCTTTGTTTGCCTTGTGTGTGTCCCTCATTTCAGACCGTGAAATGACATTCTTCCCTTGTGCGTCCTGTTGAGGTAGAAGAGAGAAAACAGATTAAAGCATTCCGGAAGGGTAAAGATGCTGAATGATGCTAAATGATACTTGGTATATGTATAAATTTGAGAGGCTGAAAAGAAGAGTTCTTCCATCGACTAGCTAATTCTCCAAAAGCCCTCTGTGTCCAGGGCTAAAGCCGGGACCTGGCAGCTCAATCCAGATCTCTCATGTAGGCTGCCATCTCTGTGATTAGAAAATGGAGTAATAGGTGAAGCCAGGACTCAGGCCCAAGCCCTCCACTGGGAGGCCATATACTCACTCCATGAATCCCAGGACAGACTCCTATTCCTGGTAGTGGCCATGTTCTCTTACCTTTTCAGGTCCACAGTGGTGACGTTGAACACGACTCCTTTCAGCCAAAGGATCATAAAGAGACGCTGAGAGAAGGGACAGTTGCCAATGCTCTCCCCGTCGATTCCAGCCTGGAAAGAGAAGCAGAGCCTGTGTCAGTGCAAGCATCGCAGCAAGCACAGGCACCCAAACGCCTGCCTGCAGAGAGCTGACTGTAATCCCTGCGTAACAGCAAAGGGCATAGCACTCTACTAGTCAGTTCTATCGTCCTAATGTTACGTAGAGCAGAGCTTGACACTGTTTAAGGGAGCAATAAACACCGCCCGAATCAAATTCAGGTTTCCAGCAGAGTGATTTTGCAGAATCAGAGCTTTCTAAAACTTTGGAACTTTAGCATCTCAGGGTACAAAGCAACCTTCAACATCATGTAACTTAACACCAGTGATGCTGCTGAACTTAACACCAATGTCAAGTGCTACACCTTCAACTCAACCTCTAGTCTGATTGAATTTCTCTCCTAACCAATCATTACATCTCTCAAACCAGTCCAATCTGAGCACCGTTCTAATAATTGCAAATGTTTTCCTTTGTCTATACCTAGCCAAAATATGTTCCTCAGCAGTTCACTCCCTTCCACACACTGGGTTTTTGTTTCATGAGGATGTAATAAGCATAAATTGTTACCCCGATTCTCCACATAAAGGTTAATCAACAGGCTTAAGACTGCAATCAATAGGTCTCTTATATCTGACTAGCATGTGACAACCAGTGTCAATAAGCCACTCATTTGTTAATTCCTGTTCTTTTCCTCCTTCTTCCTCCTCTTTCTTCTTTTTTTTCCTCCTCCTCCTTCTTCTTCTTCTTCCTCTTCCTCTTCCTTCTTCTCCTCCTCCCTCTTCTTCTTCATTTTAAAGATCTCCTTTTCACTGGTTCACTCCCCAAATAGCCACAATGGCCAGAGCTAAGCTGATCTGAAGCCAGGAGCCAGGAGCCTCTTCCAGTCCTCCCACATGGTATAGGATCCCAAGGCTTTGGTTTTGCTTTCTCAGGCCCTAAACAGGGCAGTTGGATGAGAAATGGAACAGCCAGGACAAAAACTGGTGCCTATATGGGATCCTGGTGCTTGGAGGTGGAGGATTAGCCAATGGAGTCATTATACCAGGCCTTGTTATTATCTTTGTGTTCAACAAATAGCACATTAACTGTGACTGCATAAGGCACTGGAGAAGGAGGCTCAGGAGCTGTAATAAGGCATTTCTCCAGGGAATTTACAGCCTTCTGATAAGTGGGGAGGGCTGGTGAATACAGGAGCATATGGGACTAGAAAGCAGGCATTGACTGACAGCCTTTGGATGCTTCCCATTTCATTTCTTCTCTCACAGACTTCCTCCAAACAGCCAGCTGTTGTGTTTACATTGGCGGGATGAGTCTCTCCAATCAGCTTCTGAGAGGGCTGAAAAGCCATGAGCTTCACAAAAACTTAAGCTGAGTAAACACACCAGCCAACAAAAATGGTGGTGGGCCTGGTCTCCCTCATTCATTTCCATTGAAGGGTTTATTAGCCCCAGCATGATGTTCAGAGGAAGCGATAACCTACTCACTCTGGCCTCTGATGCTGGCTGCCCTGGTCTCTAGTTGGGGCCGTGGCAAGGGCCTCTGCTGACAGAGACCACAGGAGGGAAGACGCTGAAGCTCACTCACAGGTGCAGAAACTTTAACCATCTCTTAGGAAAGAGGACTTACTAAGATTACTCAGGTTTTTGTTGATGCTACTTGTAGAAGAAGGAGACAAATAGATGCATTCCCAAAGCTCGATTTGTTTTTGGTGTGGCATTGCCATGCAATGCCTGCTTTTCTCTACATTGGAGACAATGTGCTTACTTCTGCTTTGTCCATCACTCGCAGCAGAGGCTCAGGTTTAGAATGGAAAACTAGAGCCTTTGAGAGTGTGGTCTGAAGGTGATTGCTATGAAGTTCCAGTTATTTTATCTTCCTCTTAGCTACAGCAGGAGCCCCACACTTGATTCAGATCTCACTGTTCCCCCACACTGTAGGCAGTCACCCCGAGGAGTGGAGCTGGCATAGACTTCAATGTACACAAGCAGCGTGCCACACCTGTTCCCCTGGGCTAAAGTTACCAAGAGAGCCCTCACAGGCTTGGTGCTGATGTGAATTTATGTCACTCCTCCGAGAACTTTCCAAGGAGCTCACCACTGGGACATGCTACACAGGATATGCCCCCCACCCAGGGCCAATTATACAGATAATAAGGGGAAAATTATAAAAAATGAAAACTACATACATAGACTGTTATCTGCTTGAGTGGTGATCTTGAAAGGATAAGATAATTAAGGGAGGAATGCATAAAATATTGGCAATGTTTATTGCCTGGACAGGAAACTAATGTTACAATAACAATGCTGTAATAACACATGTGTATAAAAATTGTCAGGTATTTACATAAATGATTACTAATTAGAGTGGCAGAAAGACAGACAGGTGGAAAGCTTCCACCTGTTGATTCACTTAACAAATGTCCAAAATGGCTGGTGTGGGCTGGAGCAGAAATGAGGAGCCATGGGTGGCAGGAAGTCACTGGTGCCTCCCAGATGGTGTGTTACTAGGAACCCACATTCAGGAGATGGAGCCAAGATTCGAACCCAGACACTGTGATGTAGGGTGCAAGCGTCTTAACCACTAGGCTAAATGCCCACCATATATATATATATGAACTCATATATATATGTACTGAACTCATTTGTTGTTCCTGAGCAGTCTGTGAAGTTAGATGCTATCATCATTCATAATGTACACACAGAGGTACAGGCAGGTGAAAATGACCTTGGTGAAGCCAGGATTGAACCCAGGTGGTTGGACTCCAGGTCTAGCTTTCTTAACTACCATGCTTGTATTACAAGCCAAGGTTTCCTGCTCTGTGCCAGGATGGGAAGCTGCTGCATCATACATGTACCTCCTCCCCTCCTATCTGTGTGTGTCCTTGTGTCTGATGTGTAGACTGTGATGTTATTTCCAGCTCCCTACATCTTCACTGTGTCTTAGGAACATTGACTGAAATGATGGTTTTGGCCTGGGACACAGCAGTTGCCAAAAGGCCAGTAGAAACATGTGAGATTCTACTGTTTCCTCATTACTCCTTTAGCCTCCCTTCCCCAAGCTGCCTTCAAAATTCACTAATGCTATGGCCACAATGTCTCACGAGTATTGCAACCACTCAAAACATAAACAGGGAAGAGACAAGTGAAGTTCAATAGCACTGCACACACCCTGGAAGCTCCGAGGGGAAACTCATCTGAATTTGATTCACAGGAATTCTGAATGGAGCTGAAGACAGGAACAAAAGTCATGTTTTCTGTTGGATAGTTCCTCCTTCAAGTTCATGTCTAACCAAAACGTGTGAATGGGACCTATTTGGGAATAGAATCTTTATAGATATAATCAAGTTTAAGATGGGGTCCTATTGGATTGAAAAAGACTCTAAACACAGCTAGTGTCCTTACAAGAAGAGGGAAATTTGGGTTTACACAGATAGGGAGAAAGCCTTGTGAAGAAGAGGCAGAGACTGGAATGAAGTGTTCACAAGCCAAGGAATGCAGAGGACTCTGGTGGCAGACACCAGATGTTGGAAGAAACAGCAAAGGATTATTTCCTAGACCCTTTGGAGAGAGCTTTATCCTGAACTTCTAGTCTCCAAATGTGTGAGAAAATAAACTTCTGTTGTTATAAGCTACACAGCTTATAGCTTATGGAACTTTACTACAGCAACCCTCAAGAAGGATAACTTTCCAAGCTCATGCTCCTGTGCCATGGGCTTTGTGTGTACACACACAATGGCCAGTTATCACCCCATACTACTTCCTGCTCCCTAGATACAGTGCATAAGGTTTATTTTAAAGTATATTGTATATAAGATTACATACTACAATTTCGGTACTAGCCTTATGTAACAATGTGGGTCCTTGACTTAGATTGCACACAGATTATTACGGGATAATCAGACATTGCCTTTCATGGGATCTCTCCCGCTGGATAGTGAGTGTGACTCCTCCAGAGCATGGGCCATGTTTTATTACTTTGCCTTCAGTGGCTACCAGCACAGGTGCTTGAAGCTGAGTTAATGCTCAGTGTCTTTTAAAATAGATACATGTTGAAGGGAGGATGAATCAGTCCGTTTTTCTGGATTGAGGATTGCAAAATTCTCTCATTTTTTGAAGTGGGATCTCGAGACAGAGATGTCGTTGGGCCCTGCATTGTGGCTCAGTAGCTAAATCCTCACTTTGCAAGTCCTGAGATCACATATGGGCATCGACTCATGTTCCAGTGGCTCCACTTCCCTTCCAGCTCCCTGCTTGTGGCCTGGGAAAGCAGTAGAGTATGGCCCAAAGCCTTGGGAACACTGCACCTGAATGGGAGACCTGGAAGAGGCTCCTGGCTCCTGGTTTCAGATTGGTCAGCTCTGGCTATTGCAGTTGCTTGGGTGTGAACCAGCAGATGGAAGATGACTCTCTGTCTTTATTTCTCTCTGCAAATCTGCTTATCTAATAAAAAAATTAAAAATAAATAAATCTTAAAAAAGAGAAAGAAACATCCTTGAGCTATGCAGCACACTGTAGCAGAAGATCATGGTTCCAGACCCTGAACTTGCCCCCTAGTTTCCCTGATGAACAGGCCACCTCCTCTCTTGGGGTCAACATTGAACTTATGGCCTCTGCAGTTATGTCTATAATTTCTTACAAATTTGTAAATTCAGTTGCCTAAAGGAAATTCCTTAGGCAGTTGTTCTCATACTTTTCAGAAATAGAATGTCTTGATATTTATGAAGACTTTATTTGATAGGCAGAACAACGTGAACGCAGAGAGAGAAAATGAAAGTGAGAGAAAAGGAGAGAGATCATCCATCTACCAGTTCACTCCCCAAATGACTCAAACAGATCCAAACAGTCAGGTGTGACGAGGCTATAGTCAGCAGCCAGGAACTCCATCCTGATGTCCCATGTGCATGGCAGGAGCCCAAGCACATTAACAGGAAGTGGAGCAATCTGGATTCCAAGCAGTACTTGGACATGGGCTACTGGCATTGCAAATGAAAGTTCAACCTACTGTCCCACACTGC